CGCAAGTTTGGCTTAGTTGTGGATGTCACTCCAACAGCTACTGGGTTACAAGGCATGCATGAATATCGTATAGCCTTTCCGGCGTGGTCACAGTCGGCCATCTTCTGCCCTGCACACTTCCAGAGCTGTAATTATGAGCAACTTGCTAGCAGCCCCTCAAGCACAGTTCACATGGGTTCACAGGCGGGGAAGGCTTATCGACTTGTTCTGGAGGAGCACGGCAAGTGCTATTCAGTCTTAGCACTCCTGCTTGCCTTTGCGACTCCTTCTCGGAAACGCAAAGGGGATGAGGCGCCAAGTGAGAAGTTACGCCGCCTGAGCAGCCCTAGGCACTGGGACGTCGCCTTAGTGCCGTTCCCGGAAGAGTTTGTGCCGTTGTCTACGCCAACTGAGACTGGCCTGGCGTGCTCCGCTCCATGGGCTTTCCCGCCCAGCCTCTGCGTGTTGGAATCTAGAGCAACGCGGATCCGAGTTTTGGCCATCGCGGAAGCAGGTGACACAGTCACTGCAGATCACCTCTTGCAAATGGCCAGCTTAGCGGCAGAGCATAAGCCCACTGTGCTGGGAATTCCCGGCCAAGTGCCCATTCCGTATCAGCTAGAATGCACGGTAGTCCTACTGCAGAGTCTGCATGCCCTCTTCCAGCTGCTGACCTCTGGCAGCACAATGCAGCACTGTCCCCAAGCTGCCAGCTTCGCTGTGGCACTAGGCACCGCCGCCCGACACGACAATGGGCACATAGTGTCGATGGCTGCCAGCCTCGCGCTGGCTCTCCGATCTGGCAGATCTACCCTTGCAGTAGCGGGAGTCTTTGGTGCAGGCAAGACCCGATCCCTGACCTTTCTGCTCGCCTGGCTGGCTCTTACCACGCACCTTAAGATCGCTGTAGTACACAAAGAGAATCCGGCGGGTCGGGCAATCACCAAGTTACTCACAGCCTTTGACCTTGGACCAGATCACCAGAGATACTTCGTGCGGCCAGTCAGCAGAGAAGAGGCAGAAACCAACATAGCCTGCACTGACTATGACTTGCGGGCAAGCGACGCGGCATCATACATCCCTGGGGATGCCTGGGGCCCTTCAAGTCCTAGCAGCCCTTCTGCACGGCGTCCAGACGATACATACCCATGACAGTAACAAAGAGCCCGATATCGTAGGCTCCCTGGACCTTACAGCCACACAAGTTGCGCAGGCCACGACTTTCTTCCAACAGGCGCTCCTGCCTCACCCAATGTGGCTTGGCCCCCTGCCGGTATGTCTCGTAGAACACCATCACGGTAAGGTTAGGCGCTTACGCCTCGTCTTAGCCACAATTACGCATCTAACCAAAGCGGAAATCAACAGCCTCGTCGAAGGGCCCTACCTGCCTGGTGGTACGGTCTTGCATGACCTCGTCTATGGATATGCAGCTGATGCTTCGATGGAGCCAGAGTGGCTGGTCATAACAGATGGGCAGCAGCCAGGACATTGGCGACTTCTCCACAATAGCTCGGGCCCAGGGCGACGATGCAGGGTAGGAAGCTCCCTGCGCTATCAACCGACGCCGAGCACGCGTGAGCAGCGTAGTGCACAGGATTATACTTTCGAAGCACTGCACCGTGTGTACTTCTATGATGCATGGAGAGCGCAGCCGGTCTTGGATGCCATAG